GGATTATTTTGTATGATTTTTTTTTGGCCTTTGACGGGTACTTAGGGTGACGTGATTTTAAGTGGTTACTGGAGCCCGTAGACATCAACAACGTTCTGAGCGCCTCCACCTCCAAACTTGCATCCAATAAAATTAATATTTTTTTTTCCTACCTAAGCTAGCCTATTAAGAGGCTATTTCAGCGGAACCTTAACTAGTAGGCGAGCTCACGGGGTTCAAACCTGACGACGTTGCTAACACGAACCCTAGCAAGAGCCGTGCTTCGCAGAATCTACCACCGGATCGGAAACGCGATTCACTGAGAAGATCCGGCGAGAAACTCAGTGGGCTCTGAAGGTTAATTTACTCGTCGAGCCCTTCGTCGCAAGCGACGGGATCGACGAGAACGATGACCGGTGCTTGAGGTACCTTTTTTTTTTTTTTTTTTTATGATTGAAGGATTACTGGTGGCCCGGAGGCCTTTCCAGTTTCACCAGGACAGGTGGGCGAGCAAAGGCTCAGCCAGGAGGGGTGGGATTTGCTAACAGCTGCCCGAGCGCCTCCGAAGGAGACCTAACAACTCAAGAGTAGCTGCTTCGCGAATGAATCTACTACCGGATCGGAATCGCGACCCGCTGAGAAGATCCGGCGAGAAACTCAGCGAGCTGATTCATGGGTTAGGTTGCACGGCGAACTCTTTGTCGAGTTCGACGAGTACGGTTACCGAGGTCCCTAAGCCTGCTCCTAGAGCTGAAGGCGTCTAGTGCAAAGGTTATTGGATCTGATGGATCCGTAAGGACGTGTCTAGGGCGTCGACGGTGACTGGCTCCTGCATGATCAGGATTCGGGGAGTAGTCAGCGGCGGCTACGATAAGGCGATTATCATGACGCATAGCCTTATCGAAGTACCGTTCCGACGCTGACTTCATGTATTTCTGTATAGATTCGAGGCCCAGGTCGTCGTGTAGGTCAACGTTCCTCACGAACCACGGAGCTCCGACGGCTAACCTGCAAAAGCGGGATTGTAGAGATTGAAGGGTGTCTATGTGTGTGCGGGCCGCGTGAGCGAACACCACACTCGCGTAAGTCATGACGGGCCTTATGCAAGTTTTGTAAAGTGTCACCTTGTTCCGAAGGGACATTTTACTCCGCTTACAGATCATGGGGTAGAGTCTACCGAGAATAAACGCGGCACGGTCACGGACTGATTTTATATGCGGGCGGAATGTCATCGATGCATCCAGGGTAACGCCCAGGTACTTGACCTTCCTGGCCCAGGGTATGGATTGACTAAAGAGAGTAATCGGGGGTGTGAGATTCCTCCTCCTAATACGGGAGGAAATCCGTGTGGAGCTTCCCCTCTGAAATAGCACCGCAGTACTTTTCGCTGGGTTGATGTCTATGCGCCATTTTCGGAACCACTGTCCTAGGGCTAGGGCTGCGCTCTGAAGCTTCTTCGCGATTAGGGACTTATTTCTACTAGAATAGTAAACAGTCGTGTCGTCGGCGAATAAAGCTAAATGGGTCGGCGGCGACCGGGGAATATCGTTGACGAATAAGCTAAATAGGAGGGGTGAGAGGACAGAGCCTTGCGGGACTCCAGCTGTGAGAGGTCGTGGGGAGGAGCGGGTTCCCTCGACTCGATATCGAAAAGAGCGGTTCGACAAGAAGTCCCGTATGATGAGCACGAGACTATCCGGCACACCCATGTTGAATAGTTTGAAAATCAAACCGTTGTGCCAGACTTTGTCGAACGCTTTTGCGACGTCGAAGAAGAGAGCCTGTCGTTCCTGACCATGTTATAGTTCGCGATTTTAGGGTCACGGCGCGCGGGCTTAAGTAGGGTCTCCTGCACTAAAAATATATCAATTTGATGGTCACGCAAAAAGTCAGAAACCTGATCACGTTGATTTGCGAGACCGCAAGCGTTAATTGAGGTACCTAAAAGCACCGTTAGTGGATCGGGAGGATCCGAAATGACGTGGCTAAAATTGAAACACTTGATTACTTGATAAAAAGGTACACGGTGATTCCTATTCATGCCTTGCGATTGTACATCCCATCAATAACCATAAATCATTTTTAGAAATAAATTTAATAGCTTTCGAATTTCACACAACCACCTAACCCTGATAAACCGGTTCAATAAATCAAATACCCAGCTTAACACATCCAATATTGAGTATATCCGGATAACCGTGTGGAGATTGAACCGGTTATGGCTAGTAACCGGTGAGTCGTTGCCGCCCCGGCGCCGGATTACTTATAGTGCAAACACGAACCGGCTATCCGGATGAAAATCATATGCTCAGCCGGGTTCTCGTTGCCGTGCTCTGGCTGGCGTTATAACAGGAAGTGCTTTTAAAGAATTCCGCAGAAAAAGATTATACGAATATTTAATACGTCTTTTGAATATGTCTAATGTAGTAGGGAAGATGACATCAAAAAAGAGGCAGGAACGAACTGGATGAGAAAAACACAGGATAGGAGTTTATTACAGAGCTCTTGGGGGGGGAGGAGCCTATGCTATACACGAAAACGATCAAGAAACCGGATAGGAACGAAGTACCTTACTATAAAAATATTAATTTTAAGTTCCATTCGAGGTATAAAGAAAATAAAACTGTTGGTTTCGCAACAACCCACGGTCATATCATGGTAACGTGCGAACTTATTGTGGTACACTTCATGCACGGTTGTTTGCATAAGAGTTAGTGTATTGCGCAAACGAACGCTCTGAGATCGTGGTCAATGAATGATAAAAAATATGTAATTTTTTTTTATATGTGTTATTACAAAGTTAAGTCGTACACTGTGTGCATTACTAATAAAAGTCTTACGTTACGGACGTTTTTTCCCGGTTAGTGTACCCCTCCGCATCGTCCCATAAGGAACTTCGTTCCAAAAAACTAGATCATAAAACCCTAGTTATGAAGGTGAGATGGAAAAATGTAATTTATTTTTTATAGAATGTTAATAAAGGCTATCTTCAACTTTGATATAATACCGTCTCATCTCTTCTTGTGGGCGTCGTAAATCGACAATAGACATCTCTTTTTCGCGGCAGAATTAAACGGGATGGTGTAGCCCGACCGCATGGGCCAGATCGGAATTAGCATTGAAATTGCTTATGGCATAACCCAGTGGCGGATTAAAGGTCCAGAGCGCCCTAGGAAATCACTTTATCGGCGCCCCTGTACCGGCCATAAATGACCATCATAATATTGCACATAAACCGCAACCTGCAATATTGCATAATACGAGTATATTGATGCTTGTCAAATATAATCTATTATAGATTTAGATTATAGATCAGCATTTAGTTCTTAATCGTCGATATGGTATTCTATTTATTTATTTAAAAATTCTGAGCTCGCGCGCCCCTTCTAACTGCACGCCCCTAGGCACGTGCCTAGTTTGCCTTACGGATAATCCACCTCTGGCATAACTTCATAGCCAATGTGTAAATACTGATATACCACCATTCAAATGCATACTTTAATGCATAATTTAATGTATTTAAATGACAGATGTGCGTAGTGCGAGTTTTTTAACTTCCTACGTTTGCCGCGAGGGGCGCTGTTGCACCTCCATACAAATTTGAGTTAACTTTTACGCGATCGAGAACGTTAAAAACGTCGCGTTAAGCACAAGGATTCTGACAGCTTGGTGTGTTTGTTTGCGTATAATGGAATCTTTGAACGTAATTTTCATTGATTTCGAAATGTCCATTCAAATTGACAATTTGTAGAACAATCAAGGACCGACGGCAATGAAATCGAGTTTTTACGGATGTTCCGTTATAACTACTGAACCATGCATCCGATTGACTTGAAACTTGGTATCCATGTAGAAAATACATGTACTTAACGGATAGGCTAATATTTATATGAATGTTGGACTCCCTACACCAGTTGCGGGGGCGTTAATGATGAGAATCTTTGTGGGGGTGTAAAATAATAATGTTAATTAATTAAATGCCCAATAATAAGCTTTAATAAGCTTCTATCCTGTGTTTTTCTCATCCAGTTCCTCCCTGCCTCTTTTTTGATGTTTTTTTTATTCCTTAGATGGGTGGACGAGCTTACAGGCCACCTGGTGTTAAGTGGTTACTGGAGCCCATAGACACAGATCTCAGTATAGTTCCAACGGCTACCCCGCCATTCAAACCGAAACGCTTCACGGCAGAAATAGGCAGAGCGGTGGTACCTACCCGCGCGGACTCACAAGAGGTCCTGCCACCAGTAATTACGCAAATTATAATTTTGCGGGTTTAATTTTTATTACACGACGTCATTCCTTCGCCGTGGAAGGCAATTGTGAATATTTATTGAGTGCGTATTTCATTACAAAAAAGGGTACCCGCCTGGGATTCGAAAACCGGTGCAGCGCTCAACATGAATGCACCGGACGACTTATCCTTTAGGCCACGACGACTTCTCAAAATTTGGCAAAAGCTGCGAATTATCATTATTTGAATATGTGAATTATATATATAAGTAATAGCTGACCCGGCAGACTTCGTAGTGCCTCAATCNTATTGAGTGCGTATTTCATTACAAAAAAGGGTACCCGCCTGGGATTCGAAAACCGGTGCAGCGCTCAACATGAATGCACCGGACGACTTATCCTTTAGGCCACGACGACTTCTCAAAATTTGGCAAAAGCTGCGAATTATCATTATTTGAATATGTGAATTATATATATAAGTAATAGCTGACCCGGCAGACTTCGTAGTGCCTCAATCGATAAATAAAAGACCTAAAATTTTGTATAAAATAAACTTAAAACAAACAAAAGGAATCCGTCCGACACATCAAAGGGAGAACAAAATTGTTATTTCTATTTAGTTTCGAGCATTTTCATATTTATCTACCTTTTAAACCTTCCCTGGACTTCCACAAATAATTAAAGACCAAAATTAGCCAAATCGGTTCAGCCGTTCTCGAGTTTTAGCGAGACTAACGAACAGCAATTCATTTTTATATATATATAGACTACCATTAATCCGTAATCCTTACCTCGTTCATGTAATTCCAAGCTTGGCACGCTCTGACAGGGCTTAGCGGCTTGTAGTGGTTTCCAAAGGTGTACATGTAGAATAGCCACGGCGCCGGGAACAGCATGGTGAACATGTCGCAAAGAGCCATCGCCATCAGCACGGCATTGGTGGGCGTCCTCATGTGCCTCCGCGATAGCACCACCACGATCAGGGTGTTGGCAACCGTCGTTGTAGCTAGCAGAAACGGTGCGATGTACCTAAAATAATATTATATAGATATAGGGCTGTTATTGTGGCGGTAGTCATCATACAACACAAAAAAGAATTGTGTGCTTTTATGAAACCCCGGTAAAAGTGATTTTTTTTTATCACATTTAAGACATTTAACTAAAACATTTTTGGAATAATATTCCATTAAGGGTATAAAAATCGCTTTATTAATCTTAATTTTATACTTGGAAAATTGGAATGATAACGGGAAATGATAAAAACAGACTAAGTCTCCAACTAATATTTTTATTGAACTCTGTGTCTTAGAGTACGACAAACATAATACTTAACAATTATTTAGATTTTAAACATATTAAAAAAACAAACAAAATAGCGTGGAGCACTGGCACAAATAAGTAATAGTCTATACACTAAACGGTCAGCTGCTGCGAACTATAGGCGCCGCCATATTGGCCTTGGCTGCTCTGACGAGCGCCTTTCACTTTATCCCTACTCCGCGGCCGACCGTCACGCGACATGCAACACACAGACGAAAAAGTTTGAGACGATGTAATAAAAGTTTCATTTTAATAAATTTGACAGATGCCTGAATCTCGCTTACGACATTTTCAAGACAAGCGTGCATATATACAAGTTCCGGACAACAACATTCGGACCGTCGGTCTACCGAGCAATATCACCTGCTCGGAGTCCACAAAGTTTCTCGCCGGATCTTCTTAGTGGATCGCGTTTCCGATCCGGTAGTAGATCCTGCTAAGCACTGCTCTTGCTAGGGCCAGTGTTAGCAACGTCACCAGGTTTGAGCCCCGTGAGCTCACCTACTAGTTAAGGTTACGCTGATATAGCCTCTCAAGGCTCTCAGCTTATGTACGAAAAAAAAAACACCAATTAAATGAATGAATGTTTTCACACGAACAATCAGTCAAGCAAATGAGGCTATCAAAGCTAATTTGTAAATATTAAACTGCAAAAGACACGCCGAGAACCGACCGCAGTGGAAGATGATTGTATTTACAAAGAGCCACGGAGTCCTTTCAAGGACACGACCTTCAGCAATAAAGTATGCGACTAAGAAGAAGAAAACGATATCTACTATTCTTTCAACGCGCATTTCAAACGTGAACCGAATCCAGAATTGCCCTGAAATATTGGCTCATAAATCGAGGAGACATGACCGCACAGGTCTACACTTTTTCCCATAGGAACTTGAATCTCGCGGGTAAGATTTATCGTGCGATATTAAAGCGTATTTACGGTATACATCCGGATATGTATCCGGGTCTTTCTTAACATAATCCGGTGATTCTCAATCAATGAACCGCAGTACTCTTGTGTGCCGCCAAATTCGAAGCGAGGCAAAATTATAATTAAACTTATCATTTTCATTGCGTGCCTTCGAAATTTTGGAACCTTTGAAAATATCGCGATAAAAAAGGTTGAGAATCACTGCCCTAATCCAATTACACCAGACTAAGAGTTCATTAGGACACAGTCCATTGTTTTCTAGAGCAAAAAGCCTTGTTGGCAAGATACTGTATTGTTATCACATAATTTATGTTTTGTTTTTTGTTTTCAGCTAACATAAGGCTACCCGTTAATGATACCTTTTGTCTGGTACTTGATTGGTAATCTAGAGGACTAAGTTAAGGTGTGTGTTTGTGTGTGTTAAGTAATTTCTGGAGATCACTGAATATGTTTTTTTTTTATTGCGTGTTAAGTGGTTACAGGGGCCCATAGAGATCTATAACGTAAATACCGCCACCCACCTTGAGATATGAGTTTTAAAGTCTCAGTATAGTTACCACAGCTGCCCCACCCTTCAAACCGAAACGCATTACAGCTTCACGGCAGAAATAAGCAGGGCGGTGGTACCTACCCGCGCGGACTCACAAGAGCCCCTACCACCAGTATAAAATTAATAACAAAAGAGACAAAAGACACTCACCCGTACATAGGCTCAGCATAGCTTATAGCGAACTCACAGGTGACGTTTAAGTATACGTGTGAGTTGTTTGATGCGCAGAAATCGTCCGAAGTGAAGTTAGTGTAATCGAAGTAGGTGATGTTCTCGTTAATTGAGTAGTTGAATGGCTTCTGGAATTCGAAGTCGTTCGTTGAATTGTCTATGGTGACCGCCATCTTTGATTCCGTTTAGGCTAACGTGCTCCCGATCATTTCTTCATCGATGCAGAGGGTAGGTTCGTCTGTGGACAAAATTGATGTTGGTCAGAATTATAGGTCACAAGGTATCGGATATTTTTAGTCGTGCGCAAATGTGCCCATCGAGCTATTATTATGCGGTTGGGTCGCGTGACAAAATCACGCCATCTGTGTGCTTAGTGCGAGTTTTTTAACTTCTCGACCGCGTAAAAGTTAACTCAAATTTGTAATGAGTTGGAACAGCGCCCCTACCGGCAAACGTCCCTCGCGACACAGGAGAACAGAAGAAGATGGCGACGCATCATCCCGAGAAGGATAATGGGAGAAGTTGGTCACGCTCAGACATGAGGAACGCGACTCAGGGAGGAAGAGATTAGATAATTCTAGTAGAACAATTATATCCAATTTGATATATTTTGAAAGGAATTGTGTGGAAAATGTTTGTCTTCTGAAGGGCAGGAGATGACTGACAGGAGAGGTGAAAAGACTGTCACAGTAAGTACCTAAGCACGGAAAGTCAGCCTAACGAGGAGCAGTTTATTTTTATTTTTATTTTTTTATTGCTTAGATGGGTGGACGAGCTCACAGCCCACCTGGTGTTAAGTGGTTACTGGAGCCCATAGACATCTACAACGTAAATGCGCCACCCACCTTGAGATATAAGTTCTTAGGTCTTAGTATAGTTACAACGGCTGCCCCGCCCTTCAAACCAAAACGCATTACTGCTTCACGGCAGAAATAGGCAGGGTGGTGGTACCTACCCGCGCAGACTCACAATAGGTCCTACCACCAGTAATTACGCAAATTATAATTTTTCGGGTTTGATTTTTATTATACGATGTTATTCTTTCACCGTGGAAGCCAATCTTGAAAACTTGTTAAGTACATATTTCATTAGAAAAATTGTCACCCGCCTGGGATTCGAACACCGGTGCATCGCTCAACACGAATGCACCGGACAACTTATCCGTTAGGCCACGACGACTTCAAAGGTATATAATAATATATGGGCGATATTAAATCATAAGTCCTTTTCACTTTTATAGCCACTTTACATCGGTATAAAACACCCGTCCTAACATTCTTAGGATTGGTTGGTGTTCTTTGCTCGTCAAAAGAGCCCTTCGTGAGTGTGTGTAAAGAATTCTAAGATCGTTCATTTTGTATAAACAATTTATTGTCAAGGCTATCTATCTATACATACGCGCGATATTGTAAATATTTACGATTCCGTACTAAAGCTTTGTTTGACGAGTTTTTTTTTATGTATCACCTACTCGTATTTCTTATTACATTTTGTTTGTTATTTGTACCTGATATATTTTATACTAGCGGCCCGCTCCGGCTCCACTCGGGTCTTTAACAAAAATTTCAAAGGTATTTGACGTTGTTTTATTTTTTTTTAATAAAATAACACTTATTGCGGCATAACTATAATAGTTAGACATATGCTGTCGCGAATTTTTTTGTAAATAATAATATGTTCTACAAAGTCGTAGTACATTATTTTATTCTATCATCATTAGTTTTCGCAGGGCACGCGTTCTAAATAATATTTTAGGTAATGTTTTTACGCCTTCGCTTACATTATTGGAGTTTTAGTAAGGATCCCTAATTTTTTCAAAAAAGATTATAGCCTATGTCACTCGGGAATAGAGTAGCTTCCAAGCTGTGAAAGAATTTTTCAAATCGGTTCAGTAGTTTCGGAGCCTATTCAATACAAACAAACAAACACATCTTTACTCTTTATAATATTAGCATAGATTTAGAGTAGTTTTAACTTTTTAAATTACCTTAAATTTTTTAGAGTCTACGGCTTTACAATGCAATTGCATACTTCATACTTCATGTATCAAGGTGGCGGTATTCATTGTGATGTCCGTTGGCTCAAATAACCAATTAACGCAAGATGTATCGTGAGCGTCTAGTGATACAATAGAAGAAGTTTAATAAAATACTCAAACAATATCTTAAAGAATTTAAACGAAGACCGTCAAAAGAAAATTACACAATTATTAAATACAACCAAGCTTATTAAAATAATGTTCAATGGAAAATACCTAGTCAGGTCATAAGTATTGTCACACAGTAAAAACTTTTCTTTTAGAATGCTGGCCACAAAAAAGTTTATTGAATTCGAATTTCGAATTGTTCATGAAAATAAAAATGTATACTTTTTAGAATTTTACTCATTTTTATATATGGAGTGGACGCTTAAAGAAGACCGTGTTGCAGTTATTGCGTTGCATCGTTGCGGTTACGCGCCAATTCAAATTTTTAACATACTGAAAAATTTGAATATAACCAAAAGATTCGTTTATCGTACCATCAAACGATACAATGAAGACTCTAGTGTAGATGACAGGTCAAGAAGTGGTCGCCCTCGGTCTGTTAGGACTCCAGCAGTGATAAAAGCTGTGAAGGCGCGAATTCAAAGAAATCCCAAACGTAAGCAGAAACTGTTGGCCCTTCAGATGGGGTTAAGCAGAACCACGGTGAAAAGGGTGTTAAATGAAGACTTAGGGCTTCGGGCATATCGAAGAAAAACAGGACATCGTTTGAATGCTCGTCTAATGGACCTGAGACTGAAGAGATGCCGCGCTTTGTTGAAGCGGTACGCGGGAAAAAAATATCGGGAAATTCTTTTTTCGGATGAAAAAATTTTTACCGTAGAAGAGAGCTACAACAAACAAAATGATAAGGTGTACGCACACAGTAGTGAAGAAGCGAGCAACCGTATTCCGCGTGTCCAACGAGGTCATTTTCCATCCTCGCTCATGGTATGGTTGGGAGTTTCTTATTGGGGCTTAACAGAGGTACATTTTTGTGAGAAAGGTGTAAAAACGAATGCAGTTGTGTATCAAAATACAGTCCTGACGAACCTTGTGGAACCTGTTTCTCATACCATGTTCAATAACAGGCACTGGGTATTCCAACAAGATTCGGCGCCAGCTCATAGAGCGAAGAGCACACAAGACTGGCTGGCGGCGCGTGAAATCGACTTCATCCGGCACGAAGACTGGCCCTCCTCCAGTCCAGATTTGCATCCGTTAGATTACAAGATATGGCAACACTTGGAGGAAAAGGCGTGCTCAAAGCCTCATCCCAATTTGGAGTCACTCAAGACATCCTTGATTCAGGCAGCCGCCGATATTGACATGGACCTCGTTCGTGCTGCGATAGACGACTGGCCGCGCAGATTGAAGGCCTGTATTCAAAATCACGGAGGTTATTTTGAATAAACTTTAGTGTCATAAGAATATATGTTTTATTAAGTTCATTTTGGTATATGAATGGTTACATAATGAATAAACTTGTTTCAATTATTTTACATTAAACATGTGACAGAATTTATGACCTGACTAGGTATATTTCAATGTAGTTAAAAGTTCAAAAAGAAAAAAATACATGTATGTAAGTGGAATGTTTTCATAAAAAAAAATAAACATTACCTATAAAAGTCTTAAGAAAAAAAAAATTATCGTGTAATAAACAACTGAAAACCGAAAAAGGTCCCTTGGTGTACTTGTACCCTTGTAATACATTATACTTGTCTTAAAACGTCCACGCACTGGAGTTGTGTTTGAAAAAAAAAACGCGCTTTCGCTTTAAAAAAAACGCAAAATAATTGCGTCTAAACTGGAATGTCATTACAAACTCAAATTAGTCTTAATATAGATGTGTCCATCATCATCATCATCTGCCCATAGTCGTCCACTGCTGGACATAGGCCCCTGCCAATCCACATCACTGAGCTTTGGCTCTCCTCATCCACTTCCTGCCGGCTACTGTTCGGAGGTCATCGCACTACCTAGTTAGCGGGCGTCCCACGTTACGTCTTCCGCTCCGCGGTCTCCACTCGAGGACCCGTCTTCTCCAGTGATCGTCAGTTCTACGGTATATTTGGCCAGCTCACTGCCACTTCAGCTTGCTGACTCTTTGAGTTATGTCGATGACTTTAGTTCTCTGTCGAATAACCTCATTCCGGATTTTATTATCCTTCAGAGAAACTCCGAGCATCTATCCAAGTATCCAATCCAACTATATTATTATTAGTGAACAAGGCCTATTAAGATTAAAAACTGTGTAGATTACTCTGCCTGGGTTCTGACCCCGGCCGGAGATCGGGCAAGAGGAGTCGTTTGGTGGATTAGGCCCTAAACAGCCTTGGGCCCGCGGTCCGCTCCCAACATCTGCGGACCGTCAAGACCCAGATACCGCACGGGTCCCTAATCGCGGAAACTTCATGTATGAAATTCGATAATGGACCCGAAAAAAAGGCACCAAAATTGTTACGCGATTTAAGTCCGCATGGTTAATTCAGTTCAGTTAATACACTCTATTAACGATGACATTGCGCTGGGTTAATACTGAGAGAACGCCCATTTTCCGGTGAATCTCTAAGTCGCTTTTCACGAAATCCTTGATACCCAAGGGAAGACTTAACAGAGGTACAGATATGAGCGGTGGTAAGACTTACCATCAGGAGGGCTGTATGCTGCTCCTCTGCTTACAAAGACACGGGTAATTACTTTTGCTAGGAAGCAATTTTGCGTGGGTGGTGGTAGCATTTACTGTATCGATCTCAATGAGCACCGGCAACCACTTAACATCAGGAGGGCCGTGAGTTTGCTCACCCGTTTAAGCAATAAAATAAAATGTACAAATAATACATTCATACATATAGCGTGGTATGGACATGTGATGCGTAGAGAGAAGATGCATGTGACTAGGAGATGTATGGAAATGGTAGTGCAAGGTAGAGGGGGAAGAGGCCGACCGAAGAAGACATGGATGGAGTGTGTGAATGACGATATGAGAGAGAGAGGAGTGAGTATTGAGATGACGGCTGATAGAAGAGAATGGAAGAGAAAAATTAGCTGTGCCGACCCCACCTAGTGGGATAAGGTGGAGAAAAAGAAGAATACATTCATACATTATGGCGAGTAATAGTGGCGAAGCTTGGAGGAATGACTATGTTCAGCAGTGGACGTTTGTGGGTTGAATTAAGGATGATAGATAAATAGTAATTTTGCAA